AAAGGCAAAGACTCTGCTGTATGAGCACTTTGGGAACGGACATGTGATTGCATCTGCTTATTTGAACAAAGTTCACTCATGGCCACTGATTAGACCGGAAGATGGAAAACCTCTTCAGGCATATTGTTTGTTCTTACGTGGATGCTGCAATGCAATGGAAGAGATTAATGATCTCTCTGAATTAAATACACCTGCCAATATGCTTGCTGTGATTAGAAGACTGCCATATAAGTTAAAAGACAAATGGCGAACAGTAGCATGTGACATCTAGGAGAGGCAACATCACGGAGCTGCATTCATTGACATTGTTTCTTTCCTTGAGCGTCAAGTTAAAATTGCTACAGATCCCGTCTTTGGAAATCTATGTGATGTTCCAGCAACACATCTAGCAGCCAAGGGCAGCAATGGAGAGAAACGTTCTCAACATCTAAGAGCTAAAGGAAGTAGCTTCGTCACAACTGTCTCTGATGTTGAGAGACAGAATCAGACAGGGGATCAAGATCGTCACAGCACTGTGAAGGCTTGTTTTTTCTGCAAAGGCGGACACACACTGGAGTCATGTGCTCTGCTTGATAAGAAACCTCATAATGAGAAGATTTCGTTTCTTAAAAAGAACAGCATCTGTTTTGGCTGTTTGTGCACTGGGCACATAAGCAAAGAATGCAAAAAACGCCTTTCATGTAAAATCAAGTATACTCCATATCCACCACAAGGAGAAGAACAAAGCCAAACCTGATAATGAGGCAGATAACATTCCTGTTACGATCCAGACTAGTGGTCTTACTGGGGCCGGTGAACTAGACTGTAAGCTTGCCATCGTGCCAGTTAAAGTAAAATCAAAGAGAGGTCAAAGAATAGTGGAAACATATGCCTTTCTGGACCAAGGGAGTTCAGCATCCTTTTGTACAGTGGGTCTTATGGACAAGCTGAATGTTGCTGGGAGGAAGACAAGGATTCTCCTGCGCACCATGGGACAGGAGAAAGTGGTGGACAGTTTCATTGTACCTGAACTTGAAGTTGCTGGATTGGACAGTGACATGTACTGTGATATGCCTGACCTCTTCACTCAGCATAAAATGCCTGTAGATACTGGTAACATCCCAAATCAACAGGACCTGGATGACTGGCCACATTTGAAGCATGTTCATTTGCCAGAAATTAAGGCCAATGTGGAGCTTTTGATTTGCATGAATATGCCCAGAGCTCTAGAACCTTTGGAGGTCATCCGGAGTGTAGGTGATGGACCTTTTTCCATTAGGACTGTGCTTGGCTGGACAGTGAATGGGCCACTTTATCGAGAATGCTGTGGAAGGCCAGGATGTTTGGCAACAGTTACTGCCAGCAGAGTTTCTGCTGTCACACTGGACAAGCTATGGAAACAGCAGTTCAAGATGGACTTTCCTGAGAGCAGCGATGATGAACAGATGGGGCTGTCAAAGGAAGATTTGAAGTTCCTGGAATTGGCCAGCAAGACGGTGACTTTGAGGAATGGGCACTGCAGCATTGCCCTGCCACTGAAAGACCGAGACATAAGAATGCCTGACAACCGTGCAATTGCTGAGCAACGAGCCTTAGGTTTGAAGAAAAGGTTCATCAGAGATAAAGACTTTCACAAAGACTACACTGCCTTCATGACAGATCTCATATCTAGAGGATATGCAAAGAGAGTGCCAGTCGCAGAATTAGAGCGCAGTGATGGGAAGCTTTGGTATATCCCTCACCATGGGGTTTACCATCCTACCAAGGGGAAGATGCGGGTCGTCTTTGACTGTGCATCATCATTCCAGGGTGTCTCTCTTAATGCGCAGCTCCTGAGTGGTTCTGACTTACCAAACGGTTTGGTTGGCGTACTGACGAGGTTCAGAAAAGAGCCTATTGTTTTGATGTCTGACATCGAGGCTATGTTTCACCAGGTGCATGTGCCAGAGGAAGATGCTGACCTTTTGTCAAGAGATTTA